ATTCAGTGCTAACGTTTTTTTAGAACTTTAATCCTGGGCACAGATCGCTCCAACTGTTTTATACTATAATATTCATCACAACTTTTATGCAATAATAACATCGCACATTTCACCTTCGCATTCCTTTCCGTCTCCAGAAAATCCTTGCTTGCATCTACATTGGTATGAACCTTTTGTATTGTTGCAAGTAGCATCAGGACTACAGTATGGCACCACTGAAGTACACTCGTCAATATCTTAGTAGGGAATAAAATGTTTTTCTAGCAATGAACTCACTTACCTTGTAAATCTAAAGACCTTGTCCATCTAATAGAAACATATAAGTCGTACCAGAATAGAGGTGCATATACGTCATATTTAGAATAATTATCATAGCCCTCATGTTAGTTACGTTTTTGAGCTGAGAAAGGTTTAGGTTTGTTCAGCGAATGGCAATGCACATGTGAAAATCCAGCAGGTGATGTAGAACACCGAAAAAGAACATGCACCGAACGAAAATATTCCAGCATTACTTTTTGGTTGTTTTTGTTTTTGTTTTTGTTTTTGTTTTTTCATGCACTCAAGACGACATTCCTCAAAGTAAAAATAACGACGGCTTCCAGACTAAAATCAAGCAAAGTCAGATGCACATACTGTGCCTTCCCTAGAAAAGATCATATGACGTGTACCTTTGTCGCAGTGTTCGCCAGTGAATCCAGGATAGCACAAGCATCGATATCCCTTGTCTGTAAATCCTGACTAACAAATCGCGTTGTTGTGACATAGCGGGTTCTTTGCACAGGCGTTCTTAAACAAGAAAGCACAATTCTATGACAGACATTTTACCAAGATTCATTTAAAATACTAACATACACTAAGATATAGTTTACGTTAAGACGCGCTTCCAGACAATTAACAAATTGACGTCAGTTTTTCAGGATCTGTCCTCAGTAAACTTCGACAATGTTATCACGAAATTTATCATCAATAAGAGGGCAGACGCATAAAAAAAAAACTGACGTCAATTTGTTTTTTTACAATAGCAAGACCCCAAAATTGTCAAATACCGGGAATAAATGGGGGAAAAAGACGCCGTAGACTTTCCGTAAACAAAGATAAGTGAACTGTATTCAAAATGATGGGCTCATTGTCAATAGCTTTTCTCGGTTTTTGACTGGGTACTTAAAAAGGTCCATAAAATCTCATTGGTAAAAATTTGACAGTTTGACAGTACGCT